CAGATTGTCTGACAAAAAGGGAGGGTTGGATGACTAAGGGTTTCTTAATCTCCATGCCAGCTTCCTGTTAAAGGTGCAATTACGCTATTGTCGACTTTGGCTTTTAGGCAAACGCAGTAAATCTGACACAAGTGATCCGTCCGTTGTATCTGTTGTATAAACAGTACTTTGTGAGTCCAACATTGGAACCTTTACCTTGAATAAACAGTGTATTCACCTAAACACACCAACTGAGAGTTAAAAAAAAACCACACTTCCTGTTATACACAAGTCACAAAACTGAAGTTTTAGTTCTTTTGTTTGCGTCTGCCACTCTTTATTGCCTGCCGCCTCTTTTTGTGCATCTGTTAGCAAAATATCCCATGAACCAGTGGGCAGATTATAATAACTATCTCAAATCTGTCATTGAGGACCCTTTCCAAAGATAGGTACAAATGGGAAAATTTGGCGAGAGGATCTTTCTTTTCTTCGCCTGGATGAGTGTTTTGGCGCTGGCCTTGGCTCTTGCTCCCCCAGTTGCTAAGCTCCTTTGTTTGTGTGTTGCTCTGCCTTTGGATTTTGACGGTGTGTGTCTCGGGTTACATGTGGGAACGAGGAGTAGCGTTAGCCGAGTGCTTCTTTTGTCCCCTGAGTTGTGACTCCACTCTCTAATAAATGTGGGAGCTTGAAACCCACTCGGTGTAATCCCATACTTAGTTTAATTCTAAACTCAACCTTAACGTTAAATCAGATTACTTCGTTACGCTGGGATGTTGTTGATGCTGATTTGTAGCACGGAGCTTTTAAAGTTACGGCAGATGCACACACTTTGATCTGATTAGTACCTACTGACGTATCAAGATTGCCAAAATGATTCAATTATTTTAGATTTATAATTATTGTTTCAGTAAAACATGCTTAGAAGAAAGGGTGGAAAAAAAATAATGGGGAAACGCATGCAATCGGTTTTGTTTGTTGTGAGAAATGTATGTGTCCTGAGCTGACCCTTTATTAGACGCGCACACACACATCTACAATTACATGCAGCTAATAGAATTTCCTGTTTCTCTGCCTACAGAACGTAACCAGATCTGCACTCAGGAGTAGGACTGGACCTCTCAGCACCTGTGCTTTTGTAGCGCTGCCATGTCTGTTTAGTAAATGCTGCCGCTGGTGTTAATGGGTCTGCATGAACAACTGCTGCTCCACTGGTTTTAGACGTGGAGGCTGCGCTGTCCGTCCAACGACTTGTTGACGCTTGTAACGTGCAAAATAAATTAAGAGCTACAATAATTGACACCGATTTCAGCTGTGGGCTGATCTTGAGTTCTCTTGTGCAAAGTTAGACTGGTTGCAGTTTTTGTAGTTTGATTCCAATTTTTTATGTTTTTTTTTTTTTTTATACGCCAATCGAAAGATGTATGTATTATGGTATAGTGTCTCTCCGTACTTCCATACGTACATGAACTTTCTCTTGTCCGGGCCATAACTTCTGATCCGCTCAAGATAATTGAATGAAATTTGACACACATCACTAGACAGCATCTCACATAATCTTTTCATCACCGCAGTGCTGAGGTCACAGTACAAGTATTACAAGATCTTTGTCCAGGCCATTCAACTTTTGGCTGATTTGGAATTCTCAGAATAAGATATGACATCATGCAGATTTTCTTTTTCAAAGTTCTTTATTGTCATTCGCATCACATGTGGTACATAAGGTGGAGCGCAATTGTGTACTCAAGGTCCCAGTTACACCCAAAAATAGCTAAAGTATAAAAAAGAAACCGTCTAAGATATACGCTAAACAATTATAGTACGGTGTATTGAACATGAGTCTGTGGTGAGCAGTTATATTGTCTAACATCAGAAGAAGAAAAGCCACCATAGCCAGTCGGTAGGGATGCATACACTATGTATTTGTACACTGTAGAAGCAGAACATGGACTCAATGATACTAGAATACTAGCATGAATTCCACTAGTTTTTTTTTTAAACTCAAAGGGTCCATTGTACAGCTCTTAATTTTTTTTATGTACAAAATAAAAAAATTAGGACTACAGTAGTCCCTTGTTTATCACGGGGGAGCCGTATCCTGAAGCCTCGCGATAAGGGAAAAACCACGAAGTAGGAATAGTAATACAAGTAGTAAGTAGTAGTTTTTTTTAGTGTGTGTGTGTATATATAATGGGTTTTTTTCCCCACACTCTTGCAATATTCTAAATAATGTTTCTAAACTCTAAACCATAGGCATTGCAACCATTATATGTGAAGGGGACAAGTCCCCCCCACATTAAAAAAAAAGTTCATTTGGACCCCCCCCCCCCCACACACACACACACACACACACACACTTTTACTATAAAACATTAGTTCAGGCAGCACAGTTTCTCTTTCTTTGTGAACAAATCCATTCCACTTGATTAATAGGAGAATACTCAAGCTACTAAAACTCCACTCCAGGTTTTCCAGGTTACCTCCACCTCTACACACAGAGCAGAAACTGTGCAGGCAGCAGCTGCTGAGACTCCTGCTTCGGCAGAAAACGCGCACAGGTGCAGGAGATGGAGACACCTCTGTGTTGCTCACTCGTCAGTTTAGCGAGCTTAGTCTGGGCAGTTGTTGACCGGGGGGGTTGATCATAAACATATATTCATGTTAGGAGGATGCTTGAGAGCAGCGCTATGTCTGTAGCATCTTAGCTTAGTAGTAACTGTGACGCTGTAATACGCTGCAGGTGTAAGAGACGCTGTGTGTTCAGGTGCATTAAAGTTGAAATTTCTTTAAAACCCCACACCTTATTGTCCTCAAGCTTCGTGAGAAACATCCTTTAGATGAGGAGTGTTGAACACAAGTAAAGTCTAGTGGTGATGTTTTTTATTTCTCTATAAACACAAGTAGTGCAGATCTGACGCTCTGTATTAAAGTGTGCTCAAGTTAAAATGTCTCTAAAACCCACGGCTGAATTTACACAAACTTGGTGAGAAACATGTTTTAAATGTGTGGAATTAAAGGAAATCTAGGTGAAATGTTGCCTTTTTTTTTTACATTAGTGTACACTTATTTTGCGTGCACGCGCGCGCACACACCTGCACACATCATTGTGTCCCCCCTACATTGCGGATGCTTCTGACGCCCTTGCTCTAAACGCTCTAATAGAGCACAGCATGTCATGATTTCAGCTCTCTGCCTCCAGCTGCACTCTGTCACCGCTCTCGGCCACGCCCACTTCTCCGCTGCAGAGCAGCGATATGACACGCTGCATGAGGAAGATTCTCCTGCAGCCGTGGGCTGTACACAGTTGCAGCAGGTGCTAAATAATTTAAAATAATTTATTTTAAATAAAAATCCCATGCCGATCGTGCGCCTCATCCATCAATCAGCCAATTGTGTGTCATGGCCAATGTTACTTTGAAAAACCGCGATAGAACGAGTCCGTGAAAAATGAACCGCGAAGTAGCGAGGGACTACTGCAACTGATTCTTGTAAAATTCACTTGATGAGTTCAGTTTCGGCAGAGTAAATTTTTCTTGAAATATGATCGAGCTAAATTTGAAAACACTAAATATTTCATCTGTTATTGTTTTTTAGACACGTAAGCTGCAGTGAAAGTATACGACTGATGTGCAAAGAAAGACATACTAAACATTAGGTGATTCACTGATTGCATTTTTGAGGCCGATCCCAATTTCAACTTTTTTTTTTTTCAATTTTATTCTGTTTCTTTAAAAAAATTCACAGCATGTATTTTTTTTCTTTAATTCAAAATTTTACCGTGTTACATTATTCTACATTATTCAAGTATTTTAGATGTTTTTCCCAAACAATACCAGGCAACGGGACTTCTTTTTGTAATTGTAAATGTACAGTTAAAATAATCAAAACTTTTTTTTTGACCCAATTTATTAAAAAATTAAAAAGAAGAATTTTTGGCTAAGCTCATTAACTTGTTGAAACAAATATTCCATTCATCTTTGAAGTGATGTTCAGTCTAATTGGTATAAAGTTATTTCTAGGGCTTAATTTGTTAACTGATCGATGCCGGACAGCAAATAGTGGGAGGGCTAGCTGGAGGGGGGAGGGGATCCGTGGCTCCTCCCCCAGAAATTTTTGAATAAAGTAAATGCGATTTCCTGCATTATGGTGCATTTTAATGGGTTGTTAAACATCTCCATTTACGTACATTTGTAAACACTTGAGCTTAAAGTTGTTTTAAGACGACAGCAATCCACTTTGGTCTTTGCCTCGATCAGCAGCTAGCTTGTCAATCTGGTTAGAATTAAACAATTTTTCCAAACTGGGATTGTTCATAGAACTATCTGCAACAGGTAAGATATTAATGATTCATATCCTCTCCGTAGAACCCCACTTCGAATGTTCCGAAGCACCGCTTTCTCAAATCTCTTTCTCTGAACTTGTTTTTCACTGTACTTTGTAACTTCGTGGAAGGTTTTGCACTTTTTAATCTTCACATTTAATGCTAAGAGTTAAAAAGTAACTCTTTGTACAGTTTTTTTTTAATAAACTTTATTCAAATGAACTCTCTTTACCTGCCCTCTGCATTAATTTCCTCTTCATCAGCACACATAGCACTACACAACAGCACTTTCTTTGCCCAAAAGCACTTTGGCAGCCCTCCCTCTGCTGGTCCTCTGCACTCTCCTCGACTCCCAGTCGTATTTATCCATCACGTCCACCGCAGCTAACACGTACAGTTCCATTAGAATTCCCCGGCAACGCCAGCTCAAGCTGCGAGTTGAAAAGTTCAAATGTAAAACAGAGGCTCGAACTTCAAGGGAGGATCGGCCATAAAACGCAGCAAGCTGCGGATTACACGAGAACACAAAGCTGTGTTTTCTGAACTGTCTGCGCTTGAAAAGACTCCTTAAGAGGAACCAGAGTGACTGTTTTACTCATGCTCATCATCCTTTTTTCATAATCTCACCTGTCAGACTCAAAGAAAATATAGTGTTTTTAATAACTTAATGAAAAATACACGGTCTCTCTCTTTTTGTCCTCAGGTCCGAACGCTGTTTGTCAGCGGCCTACCTCTGGACATCAAACCCCGGGAGCTGTATCTCCTCTTCAGACCATTTAAGGTATGTTTGTATGTTTTGAGCTGATGGACTGCAAGCTATTTTTAGCCACTTTCTTCCCAGCAGACAATGAGACCTCCATTAATGGTGATGAAATAAACGGCAATGGAAACTCTGCCGGGCGGTTCAAGGGTCTGTGCTCCCGAAGCCGAGGTCCAATCACAGCTTCAGCTTGTTTCTCCTGGAAATAAAATGAAATAAAAAGCGAGAAAATGCATTTTCTGCAAGTGCTGCAAGACCTTGCTGAAATTAGTTAAAGAATGAATTTGTAACTTTGCTATTGACGTTAAAAAACAAGCAGAGCAGAACCAAAAATCCACAAAACAGGATGTGAAAGCTAAATGACAAGGTTAGAAAGATTGTAGCTAAAAGCTAAAATTAGCAAAACAGTATCTATGGGCTAATATTTGTATAAGCAAAGTTATAAAATAAATAAACAGAACAGTAGCAAAGATCTAAAATAAGCAATATTAGCCAAACTAAATTACACTTAGAACAACTGTATTTAACCGCTAATAATAGCAAAACGGTATGCGAAAGCTAAAATTAGCAAAAGCAAAGCTAAAAGCTAAGGTTTGAAAGATTGGAGCCAAAAATTAGTAAAAATAATATGTACAAGCTAAATTAGCTAAACCGAAGCTGATAGGGAAATAACGGTGTCAAAAAATCTGAAATAAGCAAAACTCTAGCTAAGAGAAAATTAGTGCAATTGTAGATAGAAGTTTAATATTTGAAAAACAGTAGCTAATAATAGCACAACTAGCTAAAATTACTATTACAAAAACTGTAGTTAAAAGGTAAAATGAGCAAAAAAAGTGACTGAAAGAAAAATAAGCCCAGGTTTAGATTAATGTTAAAATTAGCACAAAGGTAGCAAAAAATAAATTTTGTCCAATCATAAATAAAATATCATAAAAGCGGTAGCTAAAAGCTATATTTAGTAGAACATATAGGTAAAAGCTAAACTAGCTAAACGTTAAAAAGAGCATAAGGAGATAAAACTAGAGAAAGTATGATGACATGGACTTTAGAGAACAATACTATCTCATTGTTTAACAAAGTATAATTCAAAAAGTATATAAAAGTTACAAATACTAGAAATCACAGCAGGCTTTTTCTGATCGAGCCGAACGTTTCTACGTTCAAACGGTTAAAATACCCCAAAGTTTGTGGAAGCTGTTTGACTGCAAACTGGAGAAACGTGTCATATGAATGCTGAATTGGCAAACGTCTCAACTTCTGGCTTCTCAAAAAACAAAGATATATAAACTCCACTTTTGCTCTGAGATTTCTACCCTAGCTGAACGAACGTGGATGTTTGCGAGCTTCCTTGGCTCGCCACCAGAGAATAATGCACCCTAATGGCAGAAGAGCAGCGCTGTTCAAGTGAATAATGAATAATTTGCAAAGCATGTTGTTCGTCTCTTAGACAACACTCAGTGCTCCAAGTAAATGGTTCTTATCATGACTGTGGAAATGCAGTAACTCTTGATTAATCGGCTAAAACGCGACTCTACAGTCCATTTGGTCCACGTAAGAGCTCTATGAACCACGATAACAACCTAATTTAGTCTTTGTACCAAACTTACCGCAGGGAGTACACACTTTTTGGCTGTAAACATGCTTTCTAACATCTTGTTTCTTTTAAACTCAGGGCTATGAAGGATCCTTGATAAAACTGACCTCTAAACAGGTATGTGACATGTCACAAACAATGCAATCGAAACTAGCACGAACACACAGCCTGCTGCCTTGCGTGCCAAAGTTTTAAACAACGATCCTGCACTGTTAGTGCTCAAAAGTATGTGTTGGGGATGACTCTCGGCTACTACCACACCAGATTTCAGCACAGTATTTGTAAGCCATAGCTTTTTTGGTATAAGTTTGATTAGCTGTGGTGGCCATCTTGATCTAAATTGATTCCACAAGTTAATTAGTTGTTGAGGTACATCCAGTGCTTATTTTGTAATAGTTTTTATTAAAAGCTGTGCGGACAACACAGACACGGGTACAAAACGCACACCTGCTTTTACGACTTGGTGGTATTGGTGTTTTGACGGTGAGGGATTGGGCCCCTTTCTGTCAGGAAGTAGCTTTTAACAGGGGGAATGAAGGTTTCCTGGAGGGAGGGGAAACATACTGCACCAACTTGCCTTTGGCAATGGGATAGAGCGCTTGTAGTCGCTGTCAGCTCTGGTGGGACGTGAGAGGATGTGCAAGGACAAGAATTTTAAGGTGTCAAAGCAAAGCGTTTTGACAAGAGTTTGGATTTTTGCTTCCAGTGGAGCTGGACTGAACATGAAGTCTATCCAGAGCTAGGCACTTGTGTCTGTATTCTTATTAAACATGGTACACTGTTCCATGAAGACATTGCAAGGTGTAGGGCTTCTATCAATGTAGATTTATTGTTCTCAGGAATAAACCTTTAAACTAAAGTTGTATTTTTTTTGCAGCATTAAGACTAGATCCAGCTAAAAAAAAAAAAAGATAAAATAATCACCCTTTTAAGCTTTGTTCTAACAAAAATGCTGTTTTACCTAAATAATTATTAAATGGTCATTTTCTCTCTATACGTTTATTGCGCTAAATTGTCGTTCCAGTTGAAAAGCTTTCATAACCTTCACACAGTATCTCAAAGTTTAGACTGTAAGGCCTCAGACACCTTCCTGTACATAATAAATTGTTAAAATGGCTTCGTACAGGTGGGAAGAAACTCCTGTAAAACATTACAACTTCCATGTTGCACCAGTAGGTGGTGATAACTTGGAGAGTATTGACTTTTGAAGTACAAAAGAAGAATATTTTGAAAAAAATGGGCAGCCTAGTTGATTTTGAATAGAGGTTTTGTCAAATACTGATCAATAGTAGCTCATTGGTCGTGAAATCAGTCACAGAGTGCGGAGCTAGAAAAAAGACCACAAGTCTTAGGCTAGGCTAATGGCTAGCCAAACGAGGGCCTACTTTATACTGTTATTTTAGGCTTATAACTCAACAATGTCATACTGGAGTGAAAGAACGCTACATCGACAAATATTAAACCATGACACTGTCACTGTTTTCTCAACCAAACTATTGTTGGTATTTATACGGTCTAGTAACTCAAGTGTTGTCTCATCTCCATCTTCTACCGCTTATCTGTAGTCTGGTTGCAGAGGCAACAAGTCCAGAAGAGAAACCCAGCCATCCCCCTCCAGAGATCCCAATGTGTTACCAGGCTAGAGATCCCTCCAACGAGTTCTGGGTCTGCCCCGGGGTCACATCCCCGTGGGACATGCCTGGAAAACTTCCAAAGAGAGATGTCCAGGACGTATCCTAATCAGATGCCTTAACCATCTCAATTGACTCCTTTTGATCTGATAGAGCAGCAGCTCTACTCTGAGTTCCCCTCGATAACGGAGCTCCTCACCCTATCTCTAAGGCTCATTTCAACCGATTGTATCCAGGATCTCATTCATTCGGGTCATGATCTATAAACCTCATAACCGTAGGTGAGGGTTGGAACGTAGACAGGCCAAGTAAATGTAGAGCTTTCTCCACCAAATGTTTCATTCAGCATAAAACTGAACAATGATGTTGTGCGGAAGTGTAGAGGTTTATTATTAGCTAATTTAGCATTCTTTTGCACTGATTTGTTGTTTTTTGAGAGTTCTTTTTAAACCTGAAAAAATACGATAAACAAAACATAGCCTCAAAAATGACCATTGAGACTTTGCAATTTTCCAACTAACAGTACCCACTGACACAATCAAACGGTATCAAAGGAAAAATAATTTAATAATAATTTAACAATAATTAATTGTCAAATTTTAGAAGAAATGTTGATTTGTTTGGAGTGTAGTACATATTTTGACCACCTGATGGCAGTATAAGACTGTTTGAACCAAAGGATGGATAGTTGAGCAGCGTGTCTCTTTAAGAATTATGGGAGGGAGGGCCCTTGACGTGACATGGGCTGACATTGTGACATGGCAGATGCTCGGTGATTTGAGCTCTTTAGCATAGCATTTTTCACACAAAGCTTAATTAAAATATCAGTAAATAAGTTCTCAGCTTCTTTTTGCAAAGAAAAACAACTTTTAACACGAAGGCACGGGTTTTAACCGTGAATTTTGGAGCTCGACAAGGTGGAGGTTTATTCCCGAGGTCGGCCTGTTAGCTTAGATTGTAGCTTAGCTTTTCAGCTTAGGTGCTTTTAATGATCCAAAAACACAATTTTGGACAGTTAAAACAGATTTTAAAGAGAAAAGATTAAGGAAGGGGTCAGTGGAGAGCACCAGAGTTGAGCCGTGTCTTCAGTAGAAAGAGAGAGACACGAAGAAACGATAAAGCCGGTAAATGAAAATGAGGTCGATAATTTTCACTCAACATGCGATTAATTGATTTATTGTTTATTGCGACAGACCTAAAGACACCCAATCTTTAATTGCTCCCCGGGTTCTTAATAGCTGCCCACTACTCCACCTGGACGTATCCCAGGTATGATTGGTTAAATGCAAACAACTAATTTCGTCATTGTATGGGAACATACAATGATAACATATAACATATATATATATATATATATATATATATATAGCATCTAAGTGCTATATATATATATATATATATATATATATATATTTATATATATATATATATATATATATATATCACTTAGACTTATACCCTTATTCGTCCAACTCTGAGCCCTTGAGCAAGGTCCTTAACTCCACCATCTGCTCCTTGGTTGTCCTAGATAGCAGCTCTCTGCTCCACACAGAGGGCTGTGGTAGCTCGGCAGTCTGTGGTTGTGTCAGGAAGGGCATCCGGTGTGAAAATAATTCCCAAGTCTTTGTGTGAGTTAGTTTGCTGTGGCGACCCCTGAAGAAGGGAGCAGCCAAAAGAAGAAAAAAAAAATCAAAGAAAAAATAAGAAGAGCTGCAGTTTTTTTGGGGGGAAAGACTCTTTAGCCAAGTGAATCAGGTTCTTCTGTGTATGTCGTCAATGTGGACACTATCGCCACCTAGTGGTGCCGTATGCTTATTTCAGCTTCTTTTTTTTTCAATTCAAAAATACTTTATTAATGCCAGAGGGAAATTAATTGTTGTAACTCGTTATCCTCATTTCATTAAGAGATGTTATAGATACTGATGGCTGTAGACAGGAAGGATCTGTTGTAAAGGTCCATCCCACAGTGGATCCTAAGAAACTGGCTGCAGATGCCGTCCGATTCGTCCACCCAGACTCGGCTTGCCTCTCAGTTCCCCCGGGCTGTAGGACCGTCCAAATGCTGGGCTGAACTCCTCCCAGAGCGATGGCCGCTCCTCCCAGCAGTCTGCCGAACTCCTCGTCTCTGGGGACAGCCAAGATGCAGAGGGAAGATCCTGTCCTTCCGCTGTCGTGAGCCGTGTTTCCTGCTAGTTCCAGGATCTCAGTGGTCAGGCACTCGAGCACAGCTGGCAGGTAGATGAGAATGCATCCACAGAACATTCTTTTCAACTCATTTGAGATTTGGGGCTGTAGTTGAGATATTATTTGAGCTTTTGAGATGTTAATCAGCTGCTATTGGTTGTAGAAAACTGCCTTGTTGCCATGGTTACATATCATAACAAATGTCCAAAACTAAAAAAGTTTCAGTAAAAATCCTTCCAGCTGCTCAGCATCCGATACCAGAGGAGACAATCGTCCAAAAAATGTGATTTACATAGAGAAAAAGAGGAATTAAAGTTTCTAAAAGCAAAATCTCAGAATGAAAGTAACAGAGCTGCTCCAACATGCATCCACCTTGAGCGGCGCAATCCTAGAACGTAGAATGAATAGAGCTTATATTTTTAATAAACTGAGACGGTGCGTGTATAATGTAGTCTAGACAGGGTCTTTTTAGAACCATTCTTTGGCAATGATGTGGGCAAAGAAAAAGAAATATCTGTCTCCAAACGAGCCCTTGAACCAGCTCGGCTGAAAGGCGGCATCTGTTAGCCCCTCCTCAATAAATGTCATCTTCAACATGACAAATGTCGGCTAATGCATGTGCTCAGTCAGGAGTCGCAGAGTGACTGTCCAGGAGCGCTCGTGCTTTTGTTGTTGCTTCTCCTGACTGTCAATGACAACGGCCACATAAATCAATCGATTGCCACCCCCACACCCCGTCCCCCCACAAACACCGGTCAGAGAACTCTCAGCCATCGCCATATATAGCAGCAGCCAGATCTTAGACTCTTTTCTATTTATATTCCCATTACTCCCCCCTACGTGATGTCTTCACTTTCTTTCTTTTATGTGTTTCTCCTTGTCTTCCCCTTCCTCTATTCAAAATTCCCACAACCCCCAACTCCATCATGAACCCGTGGGAGCAACATGTAGACGTCCCATCAAAACACGCGCTACATTTTTTATTTTCTTACGCTGTATTTTTTTGGTTCGTACGTGCAGGCAGATTTATGACAGCCGCGCCTTCAGCCGTTCGTTTTGCTTCCTCACCCGCTCCATTGTTATGGCAGGTATCGGCTCCACAGTCTTGTAAACAGAATATAAAACGAAGGCCAGTAAAAGAAAAAAAAAAAAAGACGTGAAGAAAAAATACTGCGCTGACAAGCCTGTCCGAGGGTCCTAAAAACCTTCTTCTTCTTCTTCCTCTCAGCGTTTATTTGTTTGTTCTTCACTCTAACCTTTCTTATGTAAATAGACAAAGTTTACGCTTGAGTGTTTGCTTGTCTGCCCCGTTAGCAAAATATCTCGGGAATTATTCACCGGATAAAGAGCTACAACTTGTTGGCTTTCAGAGTCAAATTGATTCAAGATGGCCGCCACTGCAAAGCGATCTCAACTAACGCAACGATGTCGACGTTATAGCTTTTGTGCTAACATTAGGTGTGGTAGTAGCTGAGGATGATCCTCAACTTTTCCTCTGAGCGGTAACTGATTGTCTGAGATCTGTGCTTAAAGCTTTGCCGTTACCTGTTGGAATCAACTTTGCCTGTCTGTTAGCAAAATATCTTGTGAACCACAGAACAGATTTCAATGAACCTTTCAGGGAGTAATTACTGACTATACACTCAGCCCTCTGTGAATAGCAAGTGGCCATCAGGGTACTGGCTAACAACATTAAGTCAGGTTATCTGGACGGTTTCTTTTTTTGTTGAGATGTTTTGTCCACCATCCAAAGGACTTCATCAGTCTGAGGAGCCACAATAAACTCAATCCCACAAGCAGCAAACTCATAGTGGGCCAACCAGTTTGATGGTGAAAAGATGGTTTCTGGGACCCGCCCTCTCCCCCATCGACTCCTCTGAGGCAGCCATAGCCAAAGTGGTTCAAAACATCAAAGTTCATGCGCAATAATCCAGGTAATCCAACAAAGTTCAGTCAGGTCATCTGCACGGTTTCTTTCTGGTCATCTTCCCAGAAATCATCGTATCACCAGCAAACTGGTTGGTCCACTATGTGAGTGTGCTGCTTGTGAGACTGAGTTTTTTGTGGCTCCTCGGACTGATGAAGTCCTTTGGATGAAGGATGAAACGTCTCAACAAAAAAAGAAACCATCCAGAAAACCTGACTTAATATTGCTTGATTTTTTTACCAGGATTATTGAGCATGAACTTTGATGTGAACAGCTAGTTTTGAATGTCAACAACAAACTGGTTGACCCACTTTGAGAAGGTGCTATTTATGAAACTGAGCTTATTGCAGCTCCTCAGACTGACGAAGTCCTTTGGATTAAAGACACAACATTTCAACAATTTATTTATTTTTTTTTACTTTTTTGCATCCGTCCAGAGGACCTGACTTAACTTTGTTAGATACTGGCTATAAAATTACACCCGATTACTTTTGGATTCAACCAGTTCAAGATGGCTGACGCAGCCAACCAACAACCAACCAGCCAACGTTGTTTGTCTGTTAGCAAAATATCTCATGAATCAGAGCACAGATTTTAATAAAACTCTCAGGAAGTAATCACTGGATGGTCGTCTACAACCAGTTAGCTTTTGGAGTCAACCCAGTTCAAGATGGCTGCCACAGCTAATCGATCTTAGCCCACACAGACATGGCTGTACCTCGGTGAATTTTCCAGATACGGAGCTAAAGTTTGGGGTGGTAGTAGCTGAGAGTAATTCACAACACATGCTCCAAGTGCTGACGGATCATGCGATCACTTCGTAACGTTGGAGGATTTGTTTAAAACTGGCCTAAAATGCTGCAGGTGACGTGCATTTCTTCAACGTACTGTATGTGTCTTTTCCTTATCCCGTTCGTTTTTTTTCTCGACTATGTTTATCCTTGTCCAGCCCCCCCCCCCCCCCCCCCCCCCCTCCCCACCCTTTCATCGCCCTGCTTGCTTCTACTGCTCCTATAATGT